CTGCCACACTGGACCAGCACAACATTTGCTGCCCAAAAAAGGTCAGTGCTTGCTTACTTTTGGACAAGACAGTGGCACGAAAGGGACCTCTGGGAACAGAGATGCAGTATATACACTGCACACTCTGGACAAGCAAATAAACCTTTGCAATGAAAGCAACGACCACAGAGCTTAGAGAGGATTTCCTGTTTCTACTGTGGAAACACGGTATCTTCCCCTGCCTGCACAGGGCAGGCGTAACACTGTGTGGCCTGAGCAACTTGCGTTGAAGAAAGCATGGAAAGATGGGGCCTGGCTGGTAACTGTATCTCCATGAAAGGAACTTTCCGTACACAATCCGTGACTGTCAGCACTCCACCAGACCTCAAACCAGATGCATCAAACCCCATCCATGCTCATCAGGAAAAGCTGCTTACCTACTCTGACAACACCTCATCCTGACAAGTCAGCTTCTTCTGAAACTGGATCCTGGAAGTCCTTGAATGGTTCTCAGATCCCAGTGACATCTGGGGCAAACGTGTCTGGCTGAGCAATCCTCAGCTCCACACATTTCACAGAGCCAGTGCTCTCTTCTCTGTTCCTTCCCTTGCCACAGCTGTGCTCAAGGGAGTCTGTGTTGTCCTGCAGTTAAGCAGGCAGGTGAAAGCAATGAGTATGTGAGATTTAGTCCCGATCTGTGAAATGGTGGGTCCCTGTGCTCCACTTGCTACTCATTATTATTACATTGTGCTTTCTCCACAGCTCTCCAGAGCCTTGAGCAACATGCTTTCCAAGGGCATCCACCACCCTTGAGCCTGGATCTATCAAGCTCACCACGATGCATGAACATCAGCCCTAACTGGCCGTACTCTCAAAGAAAAGCTTCTGCTGAAACGTGGTGCAGACAGAAGCAGAACAGTCATCCCTGGTGAGGGCACTGGGACTGGGAAAACAGTGCACTCACAGGTGTGCAGCATAGCAAGCAGAGGCAGAGTACTGCAGAAAATATGACTACTGTACAGGGAACTGCAGGAACTCAGCTCATGGGTAGAAGGACTCAAAGGCCAGGAATGGTCTCTCAGTTTTCCAGGCTGATCTTTGCATCTTGCTAGTCATTCAACTCACCCAGCCTACAATGCACCAGTCATCTGGGAGAGTCAGAGTCTCTTCCACAAAGGAACTTGGTCTGGATTTTGAGAAAGTAAGAGATGCAGAATACAGCCCTTCCCTACAACATTTTTTCCAAAAGTTAAAAAAGAGGGATGTTAAGAGAAAAAAAGAATTACAGTTTGAATTTGACTGGCTTCAGCTTCTAGCATTAGATCTCTGCTAGCCTGCAGAGTCTCTTAGTACCTGTGATTTTCTCCCCATGTAGATACTCAGACATTGTAATCAAGTCACCTCTCAGTATTCTTTCTGATAAATTGAATGGATAAGCTCTTGTAGTGTCTCACTGTCAGGCATTTTTGTCAGCCTTTGATTAATTTTTAATGGCTTTTTTTTTTCTTCTCAGTTTCTCTGCTCTCTTTTGAAACGTTGATACCCAAATTTGACACAGCGCTCCAGCAACGGTCTGCTACCATGTACAAAGATAAGAATCCATCCATACTTCTGCTTGGTGCTCCCCTGTTTATACACCCAAGGACATCACCAGCCCTCTCCCGGGCACAACTCCTCCTCACACAGAGATGACCCACACTCCTCATTCCAATACAACATAAGTATCTGGCTATACATTAATTTTGTTTGAGCAGTCTCAGATTATCACACACTCCAGGACCCTCACTCCCGGGGATCTTCTGGATTTCCTCCTCAGCCTCACTGCCCTTTGCTCCTTCTCACAGTTGACAAAACCCACTCCCTGTCCTCCTTCCTGACCACACATGCAGGCCATGAATAAACCCAGAGGTAAAACTAAGCAAAGCACTTTGCAGGCACTGACACGCGAGCCTTCAATCAGCAGCTCAAAATCTCCAACCAAGAGAGGAAGAGCTCGCTAAGCAGAGCTAGGGCCAAAAGCTCCAAGCCCTGGTCCCACACAAGGGTTTTCATCTCACGCACCTCACCGTTTAAAGTTGCGTTGTCTATGATCCCTGTGGTCAACAAAGATAAAAGCAAGCCCAGAGTACAATTTGTTTCATCTTGAGATAAAAAAGGATTGACAGGTGGCCTAATAAAGAGCAGCATCTAATCCTGCAGTCCTTTCCCCTCCCCTTCTCAAATCCACCTTCTGCCATTCTTCTCAATACTATTCTTCAGAGAAGGGACACAACCAATCCTCATGCTGATTTGAAGGAATCTGCTGAACAAATTTAGTGAAACACAGTACCAAACAGTTCCTAGAAGCCAAGAACAACCATGCACATAACCTACCCATTGCTCCAGACTTACTCTGCACAATGCTGAGTTGGTTTAACAGATTCTGCCCTTCCAGGCCTGCTGCAACATTCACTATCTTCAACTATTCACAGCTGTTCTTCCCTACCATTTCTCCTTTACTCACTAGAAGGAAAGAAGGAAGGAGGGGATACAGGCAACCAACGACCCAGACAGCTTTCCTCATATCTGAAAATGGAAATACATTTGCTTTTCCCAATAGGCAAAGCTTCCCCAGCAAGCCAAACCAAGCCACTTAGTTCTTCATAACCCCTATGGACACAATGAACTCATGGACCACTCTTCAAAGGGCAGATCTGCATTTTACCTAGCTGTCCAGACCACATCATGATGAAGAGACAGAGGCTCTGGAGCTCTGCCATTGCTGCCCCTCCTGGAGACCCTGAGGTCATTCCATATTCTCCCAGCTCAGGAAACTCTTGGAGCAACGCCTCGGCAGGAAGTCCGTTAATGGAGGAGTGTGCTACGGAGACATGTGCTGTTGAGCAGTACTTCTCAACTCATGAATTGCATATCCTGGGGAGGGGGTGAGGGGAAGGAACAAAGCCCAGAAGACACTGTGAGTTTCGCTTTTATCCCCATTCACAGAAACCTCACTACTCATACTCCACAGACTGTGACTCTTCCATGCCTCAGGATTCTGTCAACCTGCCAAAACATGTACACAACCTAGAGCAGATCACCCCTGCCACTCCCTTTAAAAAAAAAAATCCAGATTTTACTACCCTTCACTATTAAAAAGGCTCATGGAAATATCTGACCTCAAATTAAAGGCTGCTAAACCAAAAGATTATGACATTTCACAGATTAGAGAGGCAGGACAGGATCCAAGAGTCTGGGGCTCTGTTCCTCATCCTACAGTTACTTGCTGCGTGCTTTCATGAACACCTCTTTCCCTTTCTCCAGCTGAGTAGGTGTAAGTCCCAGCCACCTCTCAGCAGATTGCAGACTCTACTGTTCAGAGCTTTTCTGGTGAAAGGGGCATTTGGCAATAAGAATGTTACTGGGTACTGCAGCCAGTCCTGGGTCCATGCTCAAAAGCAGGATATCAACAAATGGGAAAAGGCAGGAAACAACCACAAAGTTACATCAGGGTCTAGAAAATCTAGTCCAGAGAGACTGATGAAACTTGACCTGTTCAGTCTAACAGAGGAAAGGGTCAAAGGTTCTAGGATACAAAATACGAAGAAGGGGCTTCACAGAGTAGACAAGCTTTAGAGCTGGTCGACAAAGATAAGAGGGAGAGTCAGCATGTGAAACTGAGGTCAACAAGAGCGTAAATGGGAAAAAGCAGGTGGCTTGAGGACACAATAGTGAAGTCAGGTCTTTGGGGTCAGTACCATCAGCATAGGCATTTCTGCCTGATGGTACCGTTTTCCAGTTTCTCCAGGAATACCAAACAAACGCAGAGGCTGCTGTATGCTGAGGGATTCCCTGATAGGAGCTAGACAGAGGGCCAAGTGGGATGATTGGAAAGGTCTCTCTCTGGCCTGATTTCTCATACTCTCTTAGAGGCTGACCAGCAGCGGGAGAGGGGAACAGGCAAGCACTTTGGCTATGATCCTCAGCACTTTAACAGAACATCACTGAAAGGTCAGAGACTTGCGCAGGGGAAGGAAGATCACAAGCGCCAGCCTAGAGGAGGAAGGAGGCACTTGAAGCTAGGGGCAGGCTGGGTCCTTTGTCTTGCACCCAGACTATCTTGCCATGCTACAATGAATTGAGTTAGAATGTTGGTTTTGGACAGTCCTGCTGCACTATTATTTCCAAACTTTCTCCATGCCACCTGTCCCACTTGCAAACGCTCTTCTACCAGCTCAGCTCTCCTTCTCTCCACAAGCAACTCTGTCCTGCCCAGCCACTCAGCACTGCACAAACCCTTCCCCACAGTGCTCCTTCCACGTGGCATTGAACAGAGATATTCAGCTGCGCTCTAGAAGACAAGGTAGAGAAAGGGAAGAGGGGAATATGCAGCCCCATTCAAGGACAGGTTTATCTGAGTAGATAGAAAACTCCTAGGATGTGGTGCGGGTTCCCTCTTCCACGTGTAGCAGCACTGTTATACAGACCCTTCTCAAAGCCTAGGCAGAAATACTTCTCTGCATTAGGAACAGCTCCTCCATCTGGCCTTTCGGTTGCTGTTCCTTTACCCTTAATGTTCAAGGATTCTGCTGTTTTCTCCTCTCCTCCATGATATGTAATCAAACCCATTTCTCCAGGCTCATAAGTCCTTTGGCTTATATAAATTGCTGTGCTGCACAGCCCACCATAGGGATGCAACAGTGCCCTACAGCTTCTTTGGTCTCTGGAACAAGTGGCTACCCAGCAAACGGCCTCTATGAGAAAGGGAGGAAAACGATGCTGCCCTTCTCTGCTCTGCAGTAGTCCTCCTTTCACAACACATGCAGATCACCGATGTTAACGTACACAAGAGAACCAATCCACACACAATCTCTGTACATGAAGTGACTGCATTGCACATGAACTTATGGCTAACTTCCTGTGTATTCACTGGAGTATTCCTTTCTAACTGGGATCCTGCGTTTTAGATATTGTAAGCCTACACATTCAGACAGCACTGCTGCCCTGTCTTGCTTGGATACCCTCCACCAGACTGCAGTTACCGTCCTGGAAGACTCGCTCCACATTCAGTCCATAGGTAGCACAGGTCTCATAGTATGTGCAGCGCTTCAAATCATTGGAGAGCTTCCGTGCCCGAGAATCATCAATGACTCGGGGATTCGTAGCACTGATGGCATCTGGAAACCAAAAGGAGAGAAGGTTAAAAAACAAGCATCCATGTCCCATCTGTTCATGGGTTACAGGTCACGTTCCTGGCCTCCCTCCCTTCCTCTCCATGCTGAGATATCCACCTTCACAGTACACTCATCTGATAAATGCCTGAGATAACGAAGTTCCACATTTGTAGAAACGTGGATTTGTTAACATTTTTTAAATGAACCTTGAACGTTCAACTTTCCTAGTCATACAGTCACTGATATTTCTGAAGACAGAGGAAATATTTCCCAGAAACCAGCACGAGGTGTGACTGGCAAGACAAGGCAGCACGGCTGTTTGGCACTGGACATGCCATCAGGAATTCACAAGACAACGTTAAGAACAGTGCACATGTGTGAAGACAATGGAAGGACACTCGATAACAGACGGAGAGCTTGGAGCAAAGATGAGAAGAATCTATAGTGTTTATATGTGTCATAAGTCACCAACTTATTGCAATCCATCAATGCATGATTGGTCATGGAAGCTGTAACTACCAGGTGCATTCATCTCCAAGTCTGCCTCAGCTGCAGAGTTAAACAGACTCACCAGCATATCTCGATCATTTTAGGTCTTAAGGCCATACTTTACAGATTAAAGAATCAAAATGGAGAGATGATTTTCAGTTAAGTGGGAAAGATGGCTCTGCTAGGATGCACTCCACGTTATGCCTTCATTGGTAGACAACACTAAAAATGGGCTTAAACTGTATCCCAGTTGGCTACTAAGTGCTTGCATGGTATGAAAAAACTACCTTCCCAAGAAGAATCTGATCTGAATTCCTTAAGACATGCCAGGGACAAGCAAGGGCTGTGAATGAACCTTGTCAGGAGAAGTCAAAGGTGCACTGGGACTTGCCATTAAAAAGAAGTTCTTCTTGAGCTGGTCTACAGGGTTGCTTAGTGTGATCATACCAAGGCTGTGGCCTCAAGCTGGCTGTAAATCTGAGACAATGACCTCTGAGCCCTCTGCCGTATCACTCGTTTCCCAGTCCTGAGGCTCCATGACACATGCTTGTACCCCCAGCCTTGCCCCCAAAAATGATCCCTCAGTCCTGAAATTAATTCCATTAAGTTTAAATATCAGAAATTTAACATCTTTGTTCTACTCTTCAGCTAGGGCCCAGCGCAGACACCTCTGATACTCCTCTGCTGCTGTCATTGCCGTGTTCTAACCCTACGAGCTTCATCTTCACGAAGAATATGGTCCCACCAGTGTATCCCACTACTCAGGAACTGAGTTCTGCCATGACCTTTTCTTTCCTCACATCCTCCATCCCCTCCTCTTGCTTTTAGTTGTTACCCTTACATCCAAACAACTTCTACAGCCCCAGGCATCAAGAACCCTTTCTCCCTCCTGCCTGTGTTTTACTGTCTACAGACAAAAAAGGCAACCACATTTCAGGCATCTGGAGCCCCCAGATACCTGTAGCAATGCCCTCTTGTTACTTGCCACCTCCCTGCCTCCTGGGCTTGGGCACCAGCAGTAAAGCTTTCCAAGGCAAGGCGCTTCCTCCAATGCACTCTGCACAAGGCAGGTAATCCCAGCTCAAGGGCTGCCTTTTCTCCTGGTGGTCCCTCTTCATTGGCCTCCATTACCCAGGCTCATTTACTGTGCACATTTGGACCTCCAGGCACCCACGCCTCCTTGTTTTCTCTCTCTGTTGCCCATACCCACTTGCAGCCTCACGTTGCGGTTAAGTGAAAGCTCGCCTTATTGCTTCCTGCCTGACTCTTGTCCCAGACCACACTTGGAAGACGAAAGAAGAGGCTCACTCTAGGTTGCTGCTGGTCTTCTACACATCCACGCATGCATTGGCAGCACCTCAGAGGAGATGGTGCCCAACAACTCAGGCCTCTTCCCAGGGTGCTGAAAGCAAGTTATCATCCCCTCAAATTTTTCTTACTGCAGCTTGTAGAAAGATGAAGAGCAACGCATTAGCAGAAAAACCTTTGACAACTAGGCCCTGTTTCCTGCCCCAGCTCAACTGTTGCAGAGAATGCAAGCAGGAATTGAGGAAGAAAGGAAATGCCAAGAGGTTCAGGTATTTCAAAGAAACAAGTGGCTCAGTGGGAAGGTAAGCAGCTCTCCACAGGAAGAAATCGGCTGAGATGGAATTTTTCAACACTTACAGCACCCTGAACCAGGGGCCTCAGAATAACTGTCCCAAGTACTGCTTAGCAGCGCTGGACGAGAAGACCAAGCAGCTCCTATAATCCCCCAATGACATACTCAAAGGGCTAGCACCGAGCTCGTTTGCCAGTGTTTACGTATCATAAATTTTCCTCACTAAGCCAGGGAGGACGTGAGGACCGAGCCTGGGTGGCCAGCTCCCCAGCTTTTACCTTGCGTGCCTACCAGCACCATCGGCACCTCCGCTGTGTTCCGGTAGCTGCAGAGCCGCAGATAGTAGTTATATACTGTCTGGAAGCTGATTTCATCCTCCAAGCTGAAGACAAACACGACAGCATCGACCCAGGCAGCAAACTGAAGGAGACATACCAACAGTTACAGTTCAGATAAGTGTCTTTGAGCCCCTGCGTTCAGAGATGTCAGCAAGAGGAGCAACACAGCAGATAGGTGGGATGCTGCAGCTGGGCTCAACTTTACACTGGCCTGGGCTCTGTGGCACAAGCTCCTCAGCATCACAGTAAGGCACTGGGGTCAGCAGTGACCATAAAGAAAGGCAGCTCCTACTTAGGCCCTGCAGTTTCTAATAGTCTTTCTTAGTCTCCATAACTGTGTCTCCATAACTGCTGTTTAAAACCTCATGCTCTTCCACCACAGAACTTCTCCCCAAAGAAGCAGCAGGGCCAGTTCCTTCTCCAGGAACTCTCTGATCCTTCTGGTATGACAGGGAGTGGGAAGGGATCTCAGGAGGTACAGATCTCCTACCTGGAGTTCAGGGGGGCCCCCTTCATCACGAATCAGCAGCAAGTAACTCTGACCATCCACTACGATTTCCTTCTTAAATCGGCCACCTTGGGAACAAAGCAAAGCAGCAGGTCAAGTGAGAGGAGAAGAGCAAGCAGAAGGAAAGCCATGATGAAAGGAAGCGAGGCTGCAGAGCCCTTTGGCAGTGGCAGATGGAGATGCTGAGATGGAGGGTCACCTGAGCCACGGAGGAGGAGTCAGGGCCCAGACCGCTCACCCAAGCACCAAGAAACCAACTTACCTTCTGGAGACTCCTCCTGTACATAGGTGCCAGTCAGGTAGCGGTGCACAAGGGCCGACTTGCCACTGGACAGATTCCCCACAATGCCCTGCAACACAGAGACATGTGTGACAGCACCTCCTGCTGCCCAGCGCATCTCTCTTTGCAAGATGCGGTGCGGGCCCCTTCCTGCACGGCGAGAACATCAGTGCCGGACACACACACTGACGATGGGCAGAGACACTCCAGAGAGAGGGTACAAGGGACCGCACCATCCATCCTGGTGTCCAGTATGAACCCTGACGGCATACAGATGGGCACAGATCAGTAGGTGCTGGGGCCCAGCTATGCACAGAGGATGCTGAGGATGTTCTTTCTAGTCCAGAAACAGGAGACCGTAAGCTCAGTGCTAGACATGATCCTCTCTTTCTATAGCTCTCCTGTTCCTTTGAGGGACACTTGCCCTCCCAAGCCACAGTCAGCTCACAAGGGGAAAAATTCTTCTCCCAGCCCACGCATACCAAATTCTTAGGCATTATAGCTCTTGACACAATGCTGACACAAAGAGAACAAGAGCAGAGACGGGCCATGTACTTGGGTACAGCTGCTACTTTGGATATCAGCAGCAAGGCACAGCGTTTGCTCTTTGCTGTGACAGGTGATACTGCTGTAGCAGAGTATATATCTCCTGGTAGAGCTGGCTACACTACCTACAAATAAAGATATCTAGTACTTCGATTATAACCCTCAGTCAATTGGTAATGACTTTGCCTAGTTTTTAACTGGGTTGAAATGTACTAGGCTACAAAAGGAATGCAGCTGTCCCAGCCACACAACCAATTTCTTTTCCTAATGTCAACATTTTCCCAATGGTTTAAAAGATCTCCAGTGCTTAAGGGGTCAAGGAAGGCAAGTGGACTTGCCTGTTGATGGGAGAGCAGTCTGGGGGTCAAGGGGCATTTTCTACCATCCTTTCCAAAAATCCAGTTCAGATGGATGAATGTACATCCCACAGCTATTTCCCACATCCACAGACAAAGTAGTGCCTTGTGGAGCTGGATCCTGTTTTACTGAACATCCTACCTTATGCTCTTCTAGACTCACAGATGCAGCTCTGCTGCCCTGATGCAGCTGGAATAAAAATGTTGGGGAGATGCAGATACCTCCTTTACCCACAGCGTGCTCTTCCACCTCATTCTGGTGCCCCTGGCCTGTGGAGAGGCTCACTAGGGTAGAAGCCAGAAAAGCAGTTCCTAATTCACTTCTTCGATGGGTCTGTGCACATCAAAAGCCTTTTAGTGAAGAAGGCAGGCAAGTATCTACCAACACTTCACTGTACAGAGCTCAGGAAGCTGTTCTGGCAGAGCTGGGGCCATAACTGAAACCTGTCTAGATAAACCACTCTCTCACTCCTTCTCTAAACAGCTTCCTTAAAAGAATTTAGCCTATCTTTGGCTTTGAACAGTCTGGCTGCACAACGGAGCTACATAAGTCACTGCTACTTTAGGGTGTTCTACACTTCCTCCAGTGCCTAAATCACACTTCCAGTGCTCCCACAAACATGCCCTTAAAGTGGATGTCTGAAATGCAAACGCTGCCATTCATAACCTGCGCTTACTGCCCAGTGCAACCCAGAGTTCGGGGGTTTCTCCATGACTCGAGGTGTCCTCTTTGCCCCTCCAAATGTATGACTAAAAGAAGACTTTTTTCGATTCAGGATACCATCTCCCCAAATGTTCTTTTCTGCATCCTCTTTCTCTGTCCCCAAAACTGGTTAGGATAGATTTTCAGGATTTGCTATTGCACTGGTATTTAAGGTTTATGGTAAATCTACCAGAAAGGAAACAACCACAGATATCCCCATGTAGACTCTCCAACCAGGCTGCTGCGTTTCCAGAAAATCCAACATCCCCTGCGTGCCCACTGCGCCTTCACAGCAAATGCACAGTAACACCAATGTTTTTGGGACGCTTCTTCCTCAGCAGTGCATAAACTGAGCTGTGCACACTTCCTAAACCCACTATTAGATTAGACCACTCGATTTATTGGGGACATGCAGAGTATCGGCACTTCCTGGAAACATCAGATTCTCTGCACGGGTGCTAAGCAGTTGGGTGTATTTCTGTGCAGGAAATCCCAGGCAGAAATACAGTATCTTTATGATGAAATTTCAAGCAGGCACACAGAATTGAAAAATTCTGTCATTAATTCTACATGCTAACAGCATGCATGAAAACAACAGGTACCCTTATACATATGAGAGACAAAATTAAAATCCACAGTTTTATTTTTTTCTCCAAGTGTTGCCTGGCTATAAGTAAACAAGCACAATACATAACAATATCAAAGCTCTCCCCTTGTCTCCTCTCATGGGAAAAGCCCTTTTTGTGGACTCCAAAGAGCCCTGACTCTTGGAACAGTCTTTAAAATCCAATTCAGGGGAACATAGTTCACGTAGCTGGATAAGGATTAATTCCTTAAAGGGAGGGTGGTGTCCAGTTGCAACCCACCACACCGTGACTATCCATTCACAACTCAAATGAACTCAGTCTCTGCAAGTGCCAGAAAAGTGATGCTTTCTAAGGCCCCGCAGCCATGCAGACTTTCACCAAGGAGCCACTTGATACAAGCGTTCAGACTAGAACATGCGCGTTTTCACAGAAACTTTAAAACCAACACAGCAGAGGACACTGCACTGGACTTTGCAGCAGAGGGCAAAGAGATCCGAGTCCCACAATTTCAGGTCAGAGGGCAGCTCGCACCGTCCAGCCCACTGCCCTGGGCAGGCTCTTCTGGCTCCTGCATCTCCAGTGCAGGAGGAAGAGGTCAACCCGCTGGAAACACCTCATACAACCTATTGGCATCACGAGACAGAATTCAGAGCCACGCTGTTAGGGCTGGAGCTCTGGTCGGAAACCACACGTACTCGTAGTGCTTCCTCACGATTTCCAAATTTGAACTACAAAAATTTCAGCTCCAGTCATCCTTGTTTGCTTGCCAGATCAAATCCACTTTCCAACTAGACACCCGAGGACCATAAGCACGGTTCCCCGACACCGTCTGTGATTGCATCCCCGCAGCAGGCTGCGGCACAGCGCAGGCGTACCTCAGTCAGCCCTGCTATCAGCAGCAGCCGAGCTGTGGTAGCAGAGGGCTCCATGCCATCCAACTTAAGGGGCTGATCACCCCACCTTATCCTCCTCCTTGCCCCTTGTCCCCACCTTCTCATTACGCTCTTGTCTGTGCCTCTGAGACTGTTTGTGTGACTGTGCAGTAAAATGAATCAAGGATGCAATTCAGCTTAATGATTTTTTGCAGCGTTGTTTTCAAAACCGCTCAGTTCCCTGAGCAGGTGTGCAGTACAGCAGCACTCACAGCTGCACCAGCACCAACAGGAGTGGGAGGGTGAGGAAAGAGGAGCGGCTGGGAATATTAAAGCTGGCTTTGCCACCAAAGAAAAGTATATGGTGTACCTCTTAAAGGCAAACAGATGAGCTTTGCAAGTGAGTCACCATCAGGCATGTTTTCCAGCTTTAAAAGCAGGTGTGATCTCTGCAAACAGAAAAGCTCCCCGCTGCATCATCGGCACAGCCCTCAAAAGGGCCTAACAGAAGCTCTTCTCTAGAGGCAAAGACTACACACCAGCACAGCAAGTGCTCACAACCCAGTGGCAGACCTCACTGCAAGAGTACAGGAGACGAATCAGTGCTTCTTGTGCACATGCCACACAGAGTGAACTACTTGTGGTACCAGAACTCCAAGAACCCAAAACTAGGAAGTGCAGAAAAACTTGCTGTCGTGGGCATGTCTGGGCCAAACGTATTATTGCCAGATCTGTCACCTGCAACAATAATTAAACATGATACACAGCACGTTTAGACAGATGAGAACACGTATGAGACCGTAAACTTCATAGATCACATGCATGTGCTTCTGAAGCCAAACGATCTGTGAAAATGTAAGGATTTTAAGAATGCTGTAACCCGCTCGGAAGTGTTATCAATAAAGGTAACACCTCCTTTCCTCCAGCTGCATTTGCACTTCAATAGCAGTAGAAACCGTGTGGGATATCAAGAGGAAGAATGAGAGAAGAGACTGTGAAGACGACTGCACAGAGCTGGTAGCTGTGCAGGGGCCGGCGCCAGCTGCCCAGGCGAGCTTCAGTTTCAAACCTTGGGGAAATTTCGGGAAACAAAGTAGCTCCCCACAGCTGCCTAACAGCTAGAACTCCATGCAGCATCCCAGATTAAACACTTAGGAAAGATTTAGTTTTCGAAAACTGAAATTGAAATCATTTACATTTTGTTGGCTTATAACCAAAAATCTGGGCTGAAATAAGCTTTTGCTCTGTTTTATCCTCAAGCTCATCTGGCGTTACAGATAAGTGCAAACAAAACTGACAGTCTTGAGGAACCTAACCTATTAGAGGTAGCAAACCAAAATAAAATAGGGTGTATAGGCACCATGAAAATCTCTACATAAAGATATGCTGGGAGAATTAGGGAATGCCTCCTGCTTCTGCATGAGCCAGGGAAGGTTAAGATATTGCCCAGGTTATCAGGTTTGGGGGAGGCGTCCCAGCCAACAGGCATCAGTCTGTGCCTTTCGAGGAAGGCAAGTTTTACAGGAAACAGCATCTTTTATTAGACCAATTAAAAACGGACATGCTTCTGGCGACACAGATTCCTCTCAGCCTGAAGCAGAAAAAGCAAACTTTTAAGATAATATTCAGGTGGGAAAAACTGCTCTCAGTTTAACTCAAATACATCTAACTACTAAAAAATTTCAGAGAAAGTACACTAACCACTTGTGGTGCAAATTGGAACATCAGCAGAGAAGGAAGTGATGATACAGTTAACTCTGGTAGGAGAGAGAAAAGAAATGGTTCATTCCCATGGAAGAATGAGGGAGGTGAGCTGCAGGGAACATTTTATATGCCATAAAACATAAAAGCCTCCAAATCATCCATGATTTTCCATGCTCGCAGAATCACGAATCTTGGTGCGCAGGCTGACACGCTGAAGGTTTGCTGTAGGTCTCCTTTAAGGGCAAGGACTGACAGGTCAGAGCGGCTGCGTTGTGCAAGACTCTCTCATCCTTACTGGTGTGCTCTGGCATCTATCAAACGCTCGAAGTGCTTCCGCAGCAGTTTTCTTTTGGTTTCAGGCACGTTTTTCATGCGGGCACTTGGTGCATTCAGTACAGGTGCTAGTGGTTCAGGCAAAGCCTTACTCCATCTGGAGCGTGCTTCACTGTGCCAAACGTGCCTCTGAGGACGAGACAGGTGAGGCTGAGGTGGGAAGAGGAGAGCGAGTTGTTTGAAAACTGGAAGGGAGCACATCCTGGGAAATTTTCTTGCAAAGTTTTAGACATTTA